TGGAAAGGACCTACAATACCACTCTGACTATGTAAACTGAAGAAATGCTAAGGTGAGACTGATTAAAGATGTTGAAGAAAAAATCTCACTTTTCCCGTCTCCTCAAGCTTGACGCTAGCTTCTTGGCCAAGAATGCGCTCCTCAAGAATCTTTGAGACCTCTGATCCACTAACGGCCATACTGCGAGCTGTGGTAGCGATTCCCGCATTTTGAGACACCTTAAGATCACAGATTTTGAAACTGCTTGATTAATTTGTTCCTGCTAAAATTGTAGCTGTACCCCTTTTTCGCTGGCAATAAAATATACGATGGCAAAAGATAAGGTGGGTACTACTTATCTAGAAACGTCACGTGAAGAAAAGAATTTTAAATTTGTACCTCTTTAATTGGCCTTTATCCGATGCGCGTCCACTCGAAAATTAGAATGAAAAAGAAGTGATAACATTAGCGCTCAGAGTAGTTCTATCGCAAAATGATGTTTTCAAGATTTCTCGCCCATCTGATAAAGATAGCTGCGTGTAAGAGCAAGAGAGATAAAACACACGGCAATAATAACTCCTGCTACTCAACAATTTTGTTAATAAGATAGGCAAACTATGAGCCCCCGTATTAGATGCTATGCATTATCTATGCTTACAATATGGAATTTTAAAAAAAAGGACTCGAAATGATAATCTGCTGACATAATGTGCAACTATAAACAAAGCTGTCAGTCCGATTCTTAACATAGAAGTAGCTCATCGTTATCACTATTGATAGGATGCAGTGTAACAAATAAAAACATCTTCCAAATAAATAGCGGTAAGATCGCATAAGGGAATCAAATTATTCGTTAAGTAGACTGCGACCGAGAAATATTAATCTACCATACATGGGAAATTATCAAGCACAACCTGAGATAGGTCAAAATAACGGAAAGACTTTGCAAACCTTGACGGTACTACTGAGAGCGGATATAAGCCTCTTGGACATCATCTTCCTGCAGGCGGTGGCTGGGAAGAGCCTTCAAGCAGTACAGATACGATTTTTTGAGCAATATGCCCACACTGCCTAGACAAGAACGGAATGAATCGACGCGCGGTGCAACAAAGTTGACTACTGTACTTTGGGTCCATATGAGATGGGTCATTTATTAGCCGTGAGGCAAGCTTTTCTTTTTCTAAATTTAAAAATTTCGAATAACTCTTTTGTATTGCTATCAAATTTCGCAATGACCACTTTAATTACACTTTCATTTGACATTGCCAGATAAATTCAGCCAAGCATAAGAAGTTCAGCGTATACAATTTCATTTAGGCCTCATGCAAGAGCTCTTCTTCATTAAGCGCAAATTCACACTTATTCGAGTGATTTTATGGACTGGAAATGGTTTGTTGTGGGTTCGGGATTTCAGAGTTTTGCTTATTGTTATAGACTTTTATACCTTCGCGATTACTATCAGGTCTTC